ACAGACATGGTGTTACGAAGTGGGCTGCCTGAGATTGATCATCAAGGTCCAACAGCCCTGTTCTAGCCCTGTAGCACTTTTGTGTGTATTAGAAAAATCCCTTCTTTAATATACTCTATTCTCTCCTGCCAGGACAATGTTAATAATAAATATTCAAACCTATGATGCCTATAAGGTGGGTACGCTTCTTTGAAATGCAGCATTGTTGTGTACCGCACAATCTATCCCACCATAGGCAGAGATGACCTTGTGAGGCTGTGATTGTAGGAGGAGGTAGCTGAGGTGACACTGCCTGCCCTGGGCACCCTGCCTGTGGAATGCTCCCCCTTCTCCATGGTACTGGAGGACCTGAGGACCATGCAGCAGCACTTATATAATAACATCTACTCAGACATGTGGCTCTATCATTTATGTCAATGTATCTGTGGGCCAGTTATAGCACAGTTCATCCAAAGGCTAAAACCAAGGGAGGTGTTAGAAATATGGCTTTTCTTTAACATAAAATTATGAATAATTTATTTTCCTTGAACTGGTATCCTAAAAAAAGATATACTTTTTTTTCAGGTATGTTTTTCAGGTGGTAACTAGGAAAGAAAAACATCATTGTTATTGAGAATCTACTATATACAGACCTAAAAATATTACCCTGAACAAATGACAATCTAGGGAAAATTACTGCTGGGGGCTCCCTGAGGATAAATTCAAAGTTCTCTTCAGTCAATCTTTTTATACAGCTTACACCCTACTCTTGAGTATGTTATTAAGTACCCTATAAATAGTAACCTACGGAGACTACCACTTGGGATGAAATAACAGATTCAGTACATACATACGTACTAAGAGTTACTATAAGCTAGGAGATAAGAAAATTAAGAAGATACAGTCTCTGCTTTTAGGAAGCACATTGATAAATTATATTCTTTCCTGATAAATATTGTGAATCAAGTACTACGGGAGATGTGGAATTTAATCTAGGTCAGCTAGGTCAGAGCAGGCATGCGTCACATTGGAGGGGATCTCTGCACTGAGTCTTCAGCAATGAGTAGGAGTTTGCTGGCAATACAGTCAAAGGCACAGAGCAGTGAAGGGCCATGGTCAGGTGAAGGATGATGAGTATATAGCATGGGAAAAGCAGAGCCCTAAGGAGAGGAGTGGTGGGAAGTGGCACTGGAGAAGCAAGTTGGGCCAAACTCTGAAGGGCTCTGGGGCCACACAAGGAACTGGCAACAGGGAGCCACCGGGAAGTTTTTAAGGAGAGGAATCATATGAATTGATTTGTTTTTTAGGACTACTCTGGAGGCAGTAAAGACATTAGATGGGAATTGGAAGAGACTCACAGCAGAGAGACAGGTTTAGGAGGTGCAATAATTCAGATAAGAGATGATGAGGGTGTGTCATCCTCTCCAGCGGTGTGACTGGGGCTGTAGGGGCCAGGTGTGAAAGATTTCTGAGGCAGAAATGGTAGGATGTAGTGACTGCCTGGAAGTAAAGGAGCATGGCTATAAGGAGAGGGAGGAGACAAAGCTGACTGGTAGTTTCTAGATGTGGAGACAGGGTGGTAACTGTTAATTCCTAAGACCAGAATACAAAAGGAGGGGCAGGTAGATGCAACCATATAGGTTTCTCCTCAAAAGAGCCATAAAAGAAATGTGGTACCTGGAACACTTAAGAAAAAAAAACTGCCTATACTACTTTTTGACTACCTTTATTACTTTATAATTTACTGAATACTTTACTACTTACTACTGAGAACACGAAGAATGAGCCATCTAATAATTCATTATTCTCTCTGGATAAATGTTTTTAAATTACATATATTATATAACCCTGTACACACAAAATTAAGTAACCTACACACAGATTTTTTTTTCCCTACGTTTTAAGCCAAGCATTTATTATTAATAGGCAAATTTCCAAGATCTACTACAAGAAGAATGTATGAGCCTTAAATTATTGGATGGAACTATTTTCAGAACCAAGAAAATATGTATGAATTTAAACTAATATAATCCACAGCTTAAACTGTGTGGAGATGAGAAATACAGGTAGATTCAGTTATGCCTCTATACAGCAAAGCATATCCCTTACTGATCATTGAACTCGGACTCATTCATTCTTTCTCTCACTCTTTCAACACATATTTACTGGGTACCTATGGTCTGGGAATGTAACGGTAAACAAAACAAATGTGGCTCCAGTAATCAAGAAGCTGACAGTCTAATGGCAGAGACAAACTGTTAACAAGCAAACTAAACATAGGTATAATTTGGGAGAAAGGTTAAAGAAATCAAACAAGGTGTTGCAATGAAGAATAACCAGGGAAATATATATCAGCTATATGGTTCAAAACCAAGGGAGGTGTTAGAAATATGGCTTTTCTTTAACATAAAATTATGAATAATTTATTTTTCCTTGAACTGGTATCCTTAAAAAAGATAACACTTTTTTTTCAGATATGTTTTTCAGGGGATAACTATGAAAGAAAAACATCATTGTTATTGAGTACCTACTATATACAGACCTAAAAATATTACCCTGAACAAATGACAATCTAGGGAAAATTACTGCTGGGGGCTCAAAGAAGCCTTGATTGAAGAGTCAAATGAGAAACACGTTGAGGTGGGAAGGTAGGCAGAAAGACATTCTAAACAGAAAGAAATAGCAGGAACTGAGAAAAGCCAGGGACGTTGGAAGTAGGAAATGTGGTAGGGCTCAGAGAGGTAGGCAGGGATGTAACATTTAGTCAGAATCTCTCTGTTGTGTGATTAGCACTGTGGGAGAAATATTTTTTAAGTATCATTTTTTTATATTTAATTAAATGGTATTCTTTTTTTGAGACAAAGTCTTGCTCTGTCGCTCAGGTTGGAGTGCAGTGGCATGATCTTGGCTCACTGCAAGCTCCACCTCCTGGGTTCAAGTGATTCTCCTGCCTCAGTTTCCTGAGTAGGTGGGATTACAGATGTGCACCACCAAACTGGATGAATATTTGTATTTTTAGTAAAGTCAGGGTTTCATCATGTTGGCCAGGCTGGTTTCAAACTCCTGACCTCGTGATCTTCCTGCCTTGGCCTCCCAAAGTGCTGGGATTACAGGTGTGAGCCACCATGCCTAGCCATTAAATGGTATTCTTAAAGTGCTTATAAATCCCTCCTTTTATGCTAAATTTAGTCCCTTTACTAAGTTTAAAATTAAAAAAAAAAATAGCATCTGTGTTGTGGACGCTGTGGAGCACCACCCAGATGCCTGTCTTCAGGAATGAGGTGCTTATACACACAGCTGCTGGGAGTGTTGGGTGAGTAAGAGATGTCAGCGAAGTTCCTCTTTGGGACTTGCCCTCAGCCTAAGTGAGCAAACTCACCCAAGGTCACAGTCCTCATGGAGGGTAGGAGGGAAGCCAGTATCTAATAACAGGTCAGTGTAAGAGTGTAAAGACCAGGTGTTCTTGCCTTAAGGCAGGAGAACTCTGAGGGGTCATTCCACCTCCAGGGCTCCCCGCAGGATCTACTGAGATCTCTGTTGGGATTGCATCATCTCCATCCTACTTTATTCACTCTCCTAAAGGTGTTGCTCCCAAGGGTACCCCCTAGTGAACTTCCTGCATGGAAACCTCTGTCTTTGAGCCTGTTGCCCAGAGAACCTGAGCTAAGACAGCATGTAAATATTACATGTCTATGCACACATTTCTTTTTTTATTTTCTTTTTTCTTTTGAGATGGAGTCTTGCTCTGTCATCTAGGTTAGAGTGCAGTGGCATGATCTTGACTCACTGCAAACTCTGCTTCTCAGGTTCAAGCAATTCTCCTGCCTCAACCTCTGGAGTAGCTGGGACTACAGGCACCCCACCACCACACCTAGGTAATTTTTTTGTGTTTTTAGTATAAACAAGGTTTTACCACATTGGCCAGGCTGGTCACGAACTCCTGACCTCAGGTGATCTGCCCACATTAGCCTTCCAAAGTGCTGGAATTATAGGCGTCAGCCACGGCACCCAGCCTATGCATACATTTTTTATATTCAATATTTCAAAGACTTGTTTCCTGGTTAGTATTTGCAGGGAATTTGATAATAATGATTATAATGATAGAAGCTATAGAGCACTTATCTTAGTTAGGTTCTATGCCAAGAACTTTACAGGCATGCATATTTCATCTAATCTTTATAACAACCCTTTAAGATAGATATTATTGTCATAATATTTAATAAATTATGAACCTGGAGCTAGGGAGATTAAATAACTTGCCCATAGTAACACAGCAAATCAAAGGCAGAAATAAGTCTAGAATCAAGTTGCTCTTAATGTACAGCTTTCCTAGGACTTTCTCACTTTAGTTGTACTTTAAATTCTATACTCCGATACTGTGGCATCCTATGACTTTAAAGAAAACAAAAAACAAGAAAAAAATTCACTTGTTTTAAAATTTGTATGCTTACTACTAGCTTGTTATAAAAAGTTAAAATAGAATTTCTATTAGTCCAATTGAGTAAGAATGACAAAGTAAGCCCTAAATCTTCTAAGATCAAACTTTAAGAGATAATTGAAATAAATTGTTTATCAATTACATGGTTACAAACATAACTGCTGTTGGAGAAGTCTATAAACATGCCAACCAAAGACAGATGCTTGTTCCCAACAATGGTCATAAACCTTGAGAATCGCAAAGTCACAAATAGAGACATTGTCGAAAGTTGCAGAATAAGGTAAGGACTTCCTAGGTGTTTTCAAGGTAGCTACACAGCTACAAAGAGCAGATAATAAATTTTAAAAAATGAAGATTCTGTGCAGAAGTCCCTATATATAGCTAGCAGGGGTCCCTAAATACAGCTAACTGCAAAGCAGATTTGTATTAATTTAAAAAATAAAACAAATGAGAATACTGTGATTGATGAAACTTTGTTTTATCTCCTCCCTCTGAATACGCTTTCTCTCAACTGCTCTGACATGATGTAAGATTTCACAATTTGATCCATAAAGAAAAGATCAGATAGAATTAGAGGTCTTACCTGTCCAATGATGAGAGGAACCACAACAGTCATAAAAAGCTGAGAAAAAATAGATGTGAAAGGCACAGAAGAAGACGAGCCAAGCTGTAAAACAGGAAAATAGGAGTTAGAATTACTGTGAATCAGTTATCAAGTATTAGTGTTTATAAATAATGCAATAAATAGATTCTCTCACATGCATCAGAAATTTGGTAGCTATCTACAAAGAACAAGTGAAGTTACCTCTAATTTTCTAAATTCAACACAAAAAACTGTTAAGTATTTTAAAATATAATTTCTATTGGGAGACTAAGATTAAGAAAAATATTGATTTGCAATCAACCTAAATTGTTTATTATTTTAGTAAAGTCATTCTGTATTCATACAGTCTATAATTATATGGCATATTTCAACAATTACAGTTTATGTGATTTTTATGTCACCTGTCTGTAGATATCTGAAATAAATGTCTCATTCCCTTATCAAGATAACATTTTTATTCATGCAAATGAAATAGTTTCTAACTTTCTGACTCCTTCAAAACAAAGACAATGAATCTCAGATGCTGTAGAATTTTTTCTTACACAAGGTCTTATGAATGGGAAATCCTGAAACATAACGTATTTTCAACTTAAAATTTCAATATAGCTCTCCTAAATTTGTATGCTTTAACACTGTTCATAATTCCTATTTTTCTTCTTCCTCATTTTTTGATTCTTTCTTCGCTAACAATTGCAATCTCAGCTTCATTAAGAGGCTGTTCCCTGCAGCACAACAGTGCTTATCTATGCACACAGTAACACACTCACGTTAGCCTCCATCACTAAGAATCACTGAGTCTTCCTATGAAATTTTTAGCGTTGGTCAAAATCTCCTCATGTTTTTCAAACTTCTCTGGACAAATAACAGATGTTCCTCTCTTTCACAGGTTCATTTTGCAATCAAATTCTCCCAAACCATTAATAATTGGCCCTTGGAGCTTACTTTTCACCTTTCCCCTGCAGACCAAACCTCAGTTTACATAAGTTTAGTTACACTTAGAAATATCTTTTGGAAAATAATATTTGTGAAAGGACATGGAAGCAGTGATGACTGAGGGTACACAACGTCAAAACAGAGCAAACATTTAGATAAATGAAGTCAATAGCTCTGAACGAAGTGGTGTGGGAGCAGTGTTTTCACTGATTTCTGCATGAATCGTTTACTAAAATCTCCTCTCCACTCTGGCATATTATATAAAATTCTGTCCCCCAGCTCCAGCCCCAACCTACATGCACTGAAAGTGCCAAGAATACAGGTCTTGCCCTTCAGAGGCCCTGTGTTCATTTAAAATCACCTTCAACACTGACCACTGGCTTTCTATTTAATCCATAAAAATTGGTGGTCTCTAGCCCTTTTTCTCCACAACCAATATAAACTAAAATGAAAAAAGTCAAACAGAAAAAGTGAAACTAGTAAAGAACAAACAGGATTCCTGGTGTGTTAAATGTTGCATGGCTGTTAGATGTTTCTTTTTATACAAAACCAAAATATTGAAAGCTAATAATTAAACTCTATTTTAAAGCAACTATGTCTTTGAAGAACAAGGTGCTTAACAGGTACATTCTCTCCACAATTATTAACCCTAAGGATATTTCTGTGGCAAGGACTGAAATAAATAAAAAAATATATTTTACAGAGAAATTGAGACCCTGGATGAATAGAAAAATAAACTTTAAAGAACAAAGTTTCCAAGTTCAAAAATGTCCAGCTCAATGCTCTCTTCATAAGGTTTACAGAGCTTGGAGAGAGGTAGCAAAATTCAGTTATAATCTTCATGTAAAAGGTGACATTTCCTGCCTAAAATCACTTCAGTGATCTCACATATCTCTGGCTGCTCTTTCTAGCTCAACTTTATTATTATTATGTTTTTACATTTTTTAAATGAATAACCATTTCAAGCTATATTCTCTCTTTAAACACCCCAAAATAAAGAAAAATCCATTTCAAATTGAGTTTAAAAAATATTATATATTTATAATGTCTCCATCCTTCACATACTAGACCACTGGCATAGTCAATGTTTGGAATCCACATGTTCTTTGAAGACAGTGGAACAAGGCTATGGGATGAGGAGGTTGTCCATGATCTCCAAGGTCCCTTTTTCCTCTAGAATGCTATGATCTCTGATCTACTTGATTGGAAACACAGGTTACAGCAGCCTTCCTCTGAGGCTCTGTCAGATCAGAGATCAGAGCAAGCTACTCAGGAATGTAATTAACTGGGCACATGAAGCCAGACGAGGTATGGCAGGGATGCTGGGGAGGAAATCCCCCAGGATAGCTCCCTTAGAAGTGGCTCTGAAAGGAAGGAAACCTCAGTACTGGAGACTAATTTGGCATAAGTCCTTTCTTTTGAATTGGCCACCAGACCTGTCGCTGTGGTCGGTGTGAAGATGCAGAGGGACCCTTGGGGAAGTTTCTGATGCTATGAAGTATGCCCTGGCATCCAGAAGACAGAACAGCAAGCATCTGGCACAGTGCAGCCTGTGAGGACAGGGCTAGAGAGACACAAAACCCAACCATTCTGCATGCCAATCTGATTTTAACTAAAGCAGAAGGAAATATGCTGCTTGGGATATTTGGTTCTTCATATTTTAAGAAGGAACCTGTTGTGGTTTCTATTGTAAAGATCAGTGTGTTTATGAGACTCAGCAATAATTCACAGGTGAAGTTTTCAGGTTCAGTGAAAACTTGTATCAAGCAAGTGCTCTAGGCTTCACTGAGCTACCCTGGCAGATTTAGAAGTCATATGTTTCATACTGGCAACCCATGCTTTAAGACATAGCGTGTTAAACAAACAATCCAGTCCTTGGCTAATTTCTTGCAGAAATATGTAGTACTTTAAAGGAGAAAACTCACCATTAGGTTGGTTTGTTTGTTTTACTATCCTATGCTGAGAAGAAATCATTCATGATAATTCAGTACGTGGTAATTTAGGATCTTTGCATTCAGTCATTCAAGTAGTTACTCAGTGCTTCCTGTGAGCTAGGGGTATGTTCTCAACGCTGGGGACACAATAGTGGACAAAAGACAAAACCCCTCCTGTCAAGCTGCTGCTTTTTAAAAGCTGAGGTCTGTGTGCATGCCTGTCCATCCCCAAGTATACATGCACTCACTCCTCTCTCTGGAATGCTGTTTCCCCACTCAAACTGGAAAATTTTGAGTCTTTTTCCAAGACTCAGTTCAAGCATTACTTCTTCAGGAATTCTTTCCAACACCTCCTCCCAAAATGCTGAATTGGCTACCTCTCTTTTGTGAACCACTGTTCTCTGTGTCTGAACTGTACCTCTTAGAATCCTTGGTTGTTCTGTTTACAAATTTATGCTCCTGAAGGTTGGGACACGATCTTGTTCATGTTTACAGTCCCAATGCTCAGCAGAGTGACTGTGTTCTACATTTAGAGCAGTGGTTCTCAAATGTAGCACATCAGAAACATCTGGATGGTTTGTTAAAACGCAGATTGATTTCTCCATCCTCGCTCTGTCTGATTCAAAATGACTATGGAGTGGGATGAGAGTTGTGGTGAGAATTTGTATTTTTAACAAGGTCCCCAGTGATGCTGCTGCTGCTGAGTTGGGGGTTTGCACTTTGAGAACCACTAATCTACTACATAGTGGGTGCTCAACAAATACGTGTCAATTGGTGAATGATTGTAATATGAAGGCAGAAAAAGCTTGCCCATGTTTTCATTCCATTCTTTCAGCTTCATTCAGGTAAGCTGCAAAGCTCTACTTAGTTCACAGACCCAAGAAAGGATCATCAGCCTGGTGTCCCAACCGGTTGTCTTCCGTAATTGCTCTGATCTCTGATCTGACAGAGCCTCAGAGGAAGGCTGCTGTAACCTGTGTTTCCAATCAAGTAGATCAGAGATCATAGCATTCTAGAGGAAAAAGGGACCTTGGAGATCATGGACAACCTCCTCATCCCATAGCCTTGTTCCACTGTCTTCAAAGAACATGTGGATTCCAAACATTGACTATGCCAGTGGTCTAGTATGTGAAGGATGGAGACGTTATAAATATATAATATTTTTAAACTCAATTTGAAATGGGTTTTTCTTTATTTTGGGGGAATACAGATTGAAATGGTTATTCATTTAAAAAATGTAAAAACATAATAATAATAAAGTTGAGCTAGAAAGAGGAGTCAGAGATATGTGAGATCACTGAAGTGATTTTAGGCAGGAAATGTCACCTTTTACCTGAAGATTATAACTGAATTTTGCTACCTCTCTCCAAGCTCTGTAAACCTTATGAAGAGAGCATTGAGCTGGACCTTTTTGAACCTGGAAACTTTGTTCTTTAAAGTTTATTTTTCTATTCATCCAGGGTCTCAATTTCTCTGTAATAGTAACATTTTTTAAAAAAAATTTTTTACTTTAAATTCTGGGGTGAATATGCAGATCTTGCACGATTGTTACATAGGTATACACATGCCATGGTGGTTTGCTGTCTCCATCCCCCCGTCACCTACATTAGGCATTTCTTATTTATCGTATGCTTCCATGTGCCAGACACTGCTTTGTTTTATTTTTTAATAATTTCAACTTTTACTTTAGATTCAGGAGGTACATGTGCAGGTTTGTTACATGGGTACACTGAGTGATGCTGAAGTTTGGGATATGGATTATCCCATCACTCAGATAGCACAGTACCCAACAGTTTTTCAACCCTTGTCCCCTTCCTCCCTCCCCACTCTATTAGTCCCCAGTGTCTCTTGTGCCATCTTTATGTCCCTGAGTACAAGCGCCCTCTTATAAGTGAGAACATGCAGTATTTTGTTTTCAGTTCCTGTGTTAATTTGCTTAGGATAATGGCCTCTAGCTGTATCCATGCTGCTGCAAAGGACATGATTTTGTTCTTTTATATGGTGTGTAGTATTTCATGGGTGTATACGTACCACATTTTCTTTATCTAATCCACTGTTGATGGTCACCTAGGTTGATTCCACGTCTATGCTATTTTGAATAGTGCAGTGATGAACATGTGAGTGTATGTATCTCTTTGGTAAAATGATTTATTTTCTTTTGGATATATATGCAGTAATGGGATTGCTGGGTTGAAT